GAGGGAAGGCTGATTAAGAGAAGTAAGCATTTCTCCTCAAAGCACAACCCCATGGTTGACATCCTCAAAAACAAGCTTTGAATCAGTGCATTCCTTTTTCTTCACTGGGTAGCCAGTAATAGGCCACTCTAATCAACCCTTTATTCAGCTCTCTATTAGAAATCACAACCTCTCCAGACTACCCAGCGAAACTAGCTCACCCTCCCATTCCTCCACAGCCCTGAGGCATATTTGGGACTGCAAACAAGAGGACAGGGTAGGAGCCAGAAAGAGCATCTAAATACAACACTATAAAAATTCTGGCTGGAACAGAAATAGAGATAGAGCATTCTCAAGGTTGATGGGCACTTCTTCCCTTTCCATTTGTAGCATGGAAATTGTCAATATCATTTAAATAAAATATGAGTTTGGATTGACTTTTGCAAAAACTTCAATTGTTCTTCATCTTTGCAAACTTGGCAAGACTTAAATAGTTTCATTTAAGAATAACTTATAGTTGATAGGTTTTTCTAGTATTTTAAGGCTCCAATTATATTTCTTTCCTTACATCTTCCCTGAACTATACATAGTGCCCATCAAATAAAAGTGAAAATGCCTTTATATTGTTTTTAAAATTTTTTTCATATTTAATTCCTTTCGTTTAGACGACTACCCATACTATCATTATAAGAACGCATCCGTTAAAATATGTTCCAACTAAAGCTTGGTAGGCTTTGAATGCTCGATAAAAATCATTCTCTGAGGCTAATGAAGACAGAAATTCTGCCTATAACAATATTAAGTTTGTTTTCTCCAGTGATTCAGAGAAGTGAGCAATCTGTCAGTAATACATTGAGTGAAATTACTTGTCTTGTAGGAATAACTGCTGACAGTCACTGTATCTCAGGGTTGACCCAAACATCTCCCTGCTGACAAACAAATTACTATGTCTAACTTTGAAAAGGTAACTAGCTTGTTTTTAATTTTGATTGGTCTTTCAGAATCCCTTATACTTACACACAGTCCCATTCTTCATTGTATTAAAAGAAGAAGAAGGAAAAACAAAATGTGTTTTGGGTGGATAGGTTTGAATTAATGAGTAAAGGTGGGGGGAGGGAATAAAGAAAGAAAGCCTTACCATTTGGAGCTAAGAAAAAGAACTGTTATTGCTTCTTCCCGAGACTGTTGTGCAGATAAAACTGGTGAGTATGTCTACCCAACATTAAGACTGGCAGTGCCGCCAGTGACTGGCTGGGTGAGTGAACACATTACCGAGACAGTATTGTAGGAATTAATTTTCTTCAATAAAGTGATTTTTAAGGCTCATATATTTCACAATCTAAACATATGTCACTGTTTCATAAACAAAATAAATGGATTAAAATAATACATTACCAATATGCTGACATGTGGAGATGTCTTAATTAGAAATTCTTCAGCTGTGTGATATTTAACTGCTGTATTTGCTAAAGAGAGCATGTATCATTGAATAAGAAGGCATGAGACAGGTGTATCATTTTGCATGACATGGTTCCAGATTGTGTTTACTATAAGCTACAACTATGAAGCAACATTACTCCTAATTAAAAACAAAATTAAACAAGATCACCTTAAGGATCTATTATATTGAAAGTCATCACCTACAATGAATCAATACACCGAAACCACTTTTTCTTTTCTTTTCTTTTTTTTTTTTAAGAAAAAGTCATTCAGAGCTTAGTTTCTAAGACGATATTTCTTCAGAAACAATCTAACATCTTAGCTATTTAAAGGCCAGATTTACATGACCACCTCATTATACTGGTGCCCCTTCCTTAACATTCTTCTTGACTTACTTGAAGGACCAATGCTAACATAGCTGCGGAAAGCAAATGGCAACCGGTCCTGAAATTTATCTGGGTAGAGAATTGGAATAAGTAGCAATAGAACATATTGTTTACTGTAGCAAACGCCCTCTGTTCTCTAAAGGTCAAAAACACAGTAACCTTAGAGTTGCAGTTTCTGATTGTTCCCAGGATTAAAAACATTATCAAAATTAATGGTTCAAGCCCCTCAACCTTCAGATATATGAGTATTCATGACTCCATCTGCTGAACTGTTCAACTAAAAATAGCATTCTTTGGCATGCTCTCTTCTAATATTGTGCCCCTGAGACAGAAAAAAAAACCATGCCTTAGATTAGCTCAGAAAACCCACGATGTAAAAAGAAATATTTTCCGCATCTTCTTTATTCCAGAGAAAGACAGAATTGGAATGTACTAATGTATGAAGGGTCTTTCCATTTCAAACGTCTTCTCACTACTTGATAACAAAATGTTGGGCTTCCAGGGTATGCCCATAAACACTGTTAAGATTTATTCAGGCTTCTAACTGTTAGCAGTAACAACCTTCTAAGGACTAGTTAACTGTGACATCAGATAGGATCAGTGCTGAGCAATGCAGCAGGGCAGGTGTGGGGGTGGTGGTGGTATGTACGTATTGTAAACTTTATTTTTATTTTTTTACTAAGAATCTCTGTTTAGAAATAAAACAAGTTAACATACTTGCAATGCTTCCTCAGTATCAACAGTTTATCATGATAATGATTGTTGGAGCTGTGACATTTTAGCTTGTCAAAGAAGGGGAGAAAACCTGAGCTAGAAAAGAAAGCAGACTTTGAAATCAATAAAGCCAGCTATTATTAAATCTCCTCTCTAGTCTTGCTCAAGACTTTACATGTTAATGTCTGTAGCAGCTTCAATAGGAGTGTCTACTCTGCTGTTCATAAACATCCCAATAAACATGTTAGACTAACACCTGGAAAGTTTAGGCCAGTGGTCAGCAAACTCATTAGTCAACAGAGCCAAATAGCAACAGTTCAACGATTGAAATTTCTTTTGAGAGCCAAATTTTTTAAACTTAAGCTTCTTCTAATGCCACTTCTTAAAAATAGACTCACCCAGGCAGTGGTATTTTGTGGAAGAGCCACACTCAAGAAGCCAAAGAGCCTCATGTGGCTCTCGAGCCGCAGTTTGCCAACCATGGGTTTAGGCAATCTGCCTTTTCAACAAGGTCAAGCTTTTCTAAGCAGGGTACCATACAAGCAAACAGAACAAAGGTTTCCTAACATGCAGGAAAAACTTGCAAAAAAAATGGGAGCAAGAAAACAGAGCAAGGATAAACAGAAACCCAAGAAATTCTCTCAAACCAGCCCAAACTCAAACTGCAACGCGGTGAGGGCTCCTGTTTATTGGATTCTCTATTTAGCTCAGTAAAAGTGACAGGCGTTGGCATATGCTGTGCTTCTCGATCAGCATTGCTACAGCAACGCCCAGATCTGCCCTCCCATGTATGACATTATGGCATCAAAGCCCGACAGAAGCCAGACTCTACAGCATCAGGGGCCAGTGATGCTGTGACAGAAAGAAGTCAACTTCAGTGACTTGGGAAAAATTAGTAAACGAAAATCTGGGTAGAAAACCAGCTAAGAGAAGGATGATGGGATAAATCTCAACACTTCAGGAGAACCTAAACATCAAAGAGGAGAGGAAGGTCACCTGCTTTCATATTCTTTCAAGCGCTTAAAAGTTTAACAAACTCACTGTCCTTGAGAGGGTAAGCCTGCTATTTCACCCAGAAAGCTTCTTCTTCATGTCCCGTGTCATTTAGAAGTCAATCCCAAACATAGATTTTCAGAATGTCCAGAGATATGGTATCTTTTCTACATCCAAAAGCCTTAAGAGAGAAATCCTTTCTGGCTGTATAGCAGACAGCAGGTACTAAGAGTCTATGCCTGGTCATGCCTGGGTGGAAACCCCCGTAGAAAACATATCAAAAGGAACGGGTGGGAGCAAGGGGGCAGCGTGCTCTGGAATTCTTCCCTAGGCTGTTTCCAAGCTGGCCTTTGATCTTGCCCTCTTCTTTCTTATCTGGAGTAAACGTTATCATTTTCCCGAAATGTAGATTCAAAAGCAGAGAAGAAGTCACATGGACACTTTATTGAATAGATAGTATGCAATATGTATAGCTTGCAGAGCCAACAGAAGCTGAATATACAATGTTGGCCAGCTGTAATGACTTTCTGTTTTTATTTTTTTGAATTGGGTTTCCTATACTCGGTTAGAATATAAAATGTAGTATTACATCTAACCGAGAAAGTCAAAGTGTGTTTCAGTCTGAGGTAATCTCTCTCCTTTTTTTTTTTTTTTTTTTTAATGCAACAGCTAGCTGGCAACTCTCTAGTAGCTGAGAGTCCCAGAGACCAATGATATAGAAAAGGAATCAGGCACAAAATCAGAGAACAACTAGGTCCCTGTAGAAGAAAAGGACTTGGTTTGCAAAAGAGCCATATAAGCCATCTTCTCCCAAGTAGTAAGAATAACACACACACACATACCCAAAAAAACTAAGAGCTTTCCTGGAAGTTAAATATGAAAGGAATACTATCAAAATGTATGACGCAAAAAGCAACCAGCCAGGTCCAGGCACCCATCCCTACTTCAGCCTGAGAAATCTAAGTTAAGAAACCTGAATTAGGTAGAGTTAGAAATCCTAGGTAAAAACTTTGACTCCAGGAATATTTTGTAGCCTTGGTTAAAAAACTTGACCTCTCTGAACCTCTGTTGTTTATCTGTAGAAGCTGGACCATATTCTATCAACTTCACAGAGTTTTATGTGGTCAAATGAGATTTTTGTAATGTTTAAGTGTGTGTGTTTTTTGACAATATATGTCACTATACATTTTAAAAAGTAAAAATAAGTAAAGAAAATAAAGATGGTTTGAAAACACACATAATGTAAAAAATTTGCCTAAGTAGACATATAGAAATAAACAACCTAATTCAGGGGGCACTGGCTTGACATCTGCTTTTTTTTTTTTTTTTAAAGAAAAGGAGCAAAAAGGAGCCTCCTTAGGAATTAGAACTAAGAAATGATTATTTTGCAGTATTTAGGTTTTGTGTTTGCCACTTTTGAAAAAGCCTAGAACATGACTGAACAATCCAGTCCCCCACCCAATGAAGCACCAATGGAAGTATTCATACCTCAATCTGTTTGTGGTTGTAAGAGTGGCCACCACCATGTTCAAAGGTGTCCAAACTCCTGCCAAAACGGTCACTTAGGCCCTTTAGCCTTGGGTTAATTTGTGGGTGGGAGACATGACCCTTCTGTTTAGTAGCGTATTCAGAAAAAAAAAAAAAAAAAAAGAAAAAAAAAAAAAAAAAAAAAAAAAAAAAAAAAAAAAGACAAAACACACTGTCAGAACTCATGAAACAGGACACATATTTCTAAATCCAGGGTATTGACCACACCAATGCATAGAAAGCAGAAGGTTTAGGACCCAGATGTTCCTTCATAGAAACTTGGTACTTGTCTCTAAGATCAAACAATGGTACTGATTCTTATTCCTACCTCTGAATCAAGGGTATACACTCCATAGCTAGCTATCTAAAAAGGAGAAGTAGGTTCAATTTCCTAGTAGTGAGGTATTTTTTAGAGTTCACCAATTCAGTAAGTTCCAGTGTTAGTAGTGGGGAAGGAGAAGGCTTGGGAGAGATGTAAGGTTGCTACTCTTATAGGCAAAAACTTTTATTTCTGCTGGGCAGTGCATAACAAGGCTTTCTGGATGAGGCTTAGGATAAACACTCAAAGTCTTGCAAAAATTCTTACTTGACCACCCAATTGAAAATTATCAAAATAATGTTTTTTTATGGTAAAATATTTGTACATTTTTTAATGTTGAGGTTATGTAGGGAATAGCAATGAGGAAAGTAAAATGCCTAGCCAGGTGCTATCTCCTAGATTATTTAAGAAAACTCAAAAATAATCACAATAAGTTGGAAGAATACAATACTATCTTTAAACTCTCCACTGTATTGAAATGAAAGTTGACTGTTATCACATATTTTTAAATGTTTAAATTCTGAAGGTTTAACCACTATTTTAATATTATATTTTTGCTAAAAATATATACTCATTTAAAGTCAATTTCCCACTAAAATGGCAGTGTTGGAAGAATACAAAGATTTACCTAGTCCCACCTAGAAACACTTCATTTTACTGTGAAGAAGATATGGTGCAGATGATTTTTTTTTTTTTTCAGCTTCCTAAACACTTTCCCCCGAGTTTAACTTTTAAGTAAAGAACTTGGTCAGACATCGTGCCCAGACTTTCAACCTGGAATGAGGAAGAGGATGAAGTGACGACACACATGCTCAGGTGCAATATGTTTACATATTACTAAGTAGCTAATGTAATTTGGTAATAATGATCACCCCCTGTTCTATGAGCTGCTTGAAGAAAAACATCCAACACTGTTTTCTGTTTTGATGCTTATATGTAAAAGCTAATATGACATAAACTAAGACAGGGGTGGAAAATTGACAAGGAGAAAGATAATATGGCCAGGAACAGTCAGCCATAAAGAAACTGTAAAACCGTGAACTCACCTGATAGAGAATATCAAGTCCTAAGTCATCGTGTCATTTGTCCTTTAAAAATATTGAAACTGGCACTTTGCTATTTGCAACATGGTAAGTACATAAGGTGTTAATCCTCCCAGGCTATGCTTAAAAAACTATTTAACATTCGGGCCATTATTTAGCATACAGCTGGTTAGCAGTTTTCCACTAAGGCACTGGCGAGCATCCCGCATTTTCCTCTGGCACTTACCTGAAGCTGTAAAGGGCTGAGGCCCGAAGCGGCAGCAGCTGCCATTGTTGATGGAATGAACTGTACGGGGTAGTTATCACCTGTCGGAAAGAACAATGCGCACAGGTTTAGACAATGCGCGGGGAATCTCAGCAGACAAGTACAAACATGGCCCCGGGATTGCCTGAGCTTTACGACGTTGCTCTAAGCCCAAACATCTGCAGAAACAAAAGGCTTCGTTGGGCACAGACTTGCAGTGCTGCCTTGGAACTTTTTTGTTAACAGATAGCTGGTAGGCAAACTGGCAAAACATGAATGTGATGTTAAAAAAAAATTTAATGTGCAATTCAAGCATGTTCACTCCATTACAAATCTTGTAATACATCATTTTTTTAAGAGTAAAAAAAATATCTTAAAGCCAAGGCTGACACTCTGTTCACTAAGAAAGCATTAAGGCTTTTGTGTTAGAACAACAAAACCTGGCTGGGTAAGCAAGGCAGAGCGTTCGAGTCCCCAAAAAAGATTATCATCTGTTGACTGTCCATAACCCTAAACTATACTTATTTAAAAAAAAAAAAAAAAAAAAAAAAAACAGAGAAAACATTTCTAAAATGCAACCTCTTCAATCTGATAGCAGTGAGGGGGAATCTCATCTTATCTGGCAACATTCTGTGAAATGCCTGGTATCCCAAAGGGGGTGGAAAACATCATTTTTTTTCTGGGTTAGCTTCTGTGGAGCCTAGAACAGAACCATGCACTCCAGGTACTTATCGCTTACTCCTTGATGATGTGATAACATAACCTCACGTTTTACATGGACTATCTCCTTTGAATTTCAGAAAACACCGAGCGAGGTTCAACAGCGGTCAATGCCACATCCTAACTTGTTTCTGACGCCAGGCCTCTCCTAACTAGGGGGACGGAGGTGCCGACAGTGACCTAAGAACACAGGCTGTGTGCAGCAACCTGAGGGACCAGGAGAAAGCACTGAGGACTGTGTTGTGATCGTGGTAACTGAGGTAAAAAAAAAAAAAATGAATACTTGTGGATAAATCACATAACATCAGGGATTACATGGAGCATCACTTTGGCTCCGGCCACTCATTTAAAGTCAGTGTCGCGTGCTATCTCTGGGCTATATTTTAATAGGCTGTTCCTTCACACATTTTTGACATTTCTAATAATCATGCTGTTTTTGCATGAACTTTTCCACACTGAAAACTGAATGTATAATGAAGGGACGGTGTAGAAAGAATCACAGTAACAGTGGCAGTCAACTGGAAAGCAATCAAACCTCTTGGGTTTTTTTCTGCATGGACACCAGTACCTGGAGCCTTCCTGATGCCCCTGCTTCCCTGGGCCGCATCCTGCCTGCCACACGAAGGGCTCCTCAGCTGGCCCAATGTGCATGTTTAGTCACTTTCACTTTTAACAAATTGTTAGTTTCTAATCTGCACAGTCTCTTTGCATCATATCCATAATACCTCATCAGACCATTGAGTACAGTGTGTGCTCGTGTGCAGTCCAGTAACAATTGGCTTCTGATTGCATATGGGCGCTGCTACAATGCACTCACTAGCACTATGCTGTGCTGGTCTCCTATGGAGTAATGTTCAAAATATCTGATCTTGTTTTTCCCCTTCCATGAGGTTGATTTTGGTTTGCAGGGCTGCATGAGCTTTTCAAAAAAGTTAACTAGGCCAAATTATTTTTTTGTAGTAAGTGACTGTCGCTTTATGCTTAAGTAATTCTACTGATCTCCTTGATATTTAAACTAAATTATCGGATGAAAGAATATTCCTATCTAAGTCAAATAGCATTTCTTCGGTTGGTATCTGATCAGGTTTTAAAAAAATCGCAAAACGATGCTGAATTAATGATGCTTCAAAAATAGGGTGGGGAAAAAAATCACCATTCCAACTATCAACATGGACTGCCTCCTGGAACATTTTAGAACGATTCTTTCTTTAAATATCATGCATTATTCATACTAACGCTAAACCACAACCACAACCCCTGTAACTTTAATACCAGTTGCTTTATTTGTACTAAAACATTTTTCATGTCAAACATATTTTAAAAAATCAAACTCTAAAAGAATTCCCTGGGGCACTCCTTTTTTCATAGCTGTCATGCTTCTACGCTATGAAATAGCTGGGGTTTTTTTTAGTTTTTTTTTTAATAGTTTTTGGCTTGCTAGTTAATTTATTACTATCTCTACCACACCCTGTAGTACTCTCTCCAGCTCACCTGCTGGCTACAAACAGCTCTCTTTCTGCTGCTTGACAAGCTTATTTTTAAAGTGTTTCTAACTTTGCTGCTGGTTTGAATCTGTACGTTTCAATATAATCTTTGCAAAGCTATTTCTCCAGGACATATCATTGTATCGATATTAAAAGTGATGACGAATACATTAGACATTAGAGTAACAGTGATTATTAAAGGAAAATGAATACATTAGAGCAACAGTGATTATCACAGAAAATAATTAGGAGAGAGAGAAAAAGGAAAAGTCAAGAGAAGGAGAAGATAAGGGTGAAGAAAGGAGGGGGGGCATTATAAAAGTAGAAGAGGAAACTATAAGAGGGAAAGGGATTTAGGGTGTTGGGAAGTTTAATTTTTTTTTTTTTTATAACAAAGTTATGTGCTCTCCCCAACCCCCTTTAATTTCCTTCGTGTAAGAGTTGATCAAGAAGAAGTTCTCAGTGGCTGTCTTGGCAAGGAATCAGTCAACATGTTGTAGCAATTTTTTTCAAATTTGTCTCTGGATTTGAAATGCTTGCGTGAGCACCCATTCTTTTAAATTTGTACAAAGGAAGATGAAGCCTGTTGGAACAGGTTGGCTTTAGGCGCTGCCGAGCTCATACTCTGGCTCCTGCCACCTCTGGTGTTCGAAGACAACCTCCAAGAGATCGTCTGGGAAAGAATGCCCATTCTGCAAACCCATCTCTCCAGCCTTCTAGATTTTTCCAACTGACTGCTTTTACCTGAGGATTACAGAACACATACGAAACAGGATTTGAAACCTACGGGACGTTTGCCTAACATTCGTTTCACTTGTCACACTGAGTAACATTCCTTTGCAATCAAAGCAGCTCCACAGCAAGAGTCCCTGAGTGACAGAAAGTACATTGTATAATTTTCAGGGAAAACTAAATGAAACCAAACTTATTAAGACTTAACTACAGGAGGAAGGGGATCTAGGACTCAGGCTACCTCCTACAAGAATACTCCTAGTTTGTGTAATTCAGATAGAAATTCCACTTTTATTAGAGAGTCAAAACTCCTGTAGGTAAAATTCTATCCATTTAGTTCAATTCTTCAGAAAGACAAAGGACTGGGATGGTTGTGGTCTTCTGAGATATTCACTTCAGATATTAACCTATTAAGAGAATCATTTAAAGAGCTTGGGAGGAGTAGAGAAGAAAATACATTAAACTGGGAGACAGGATTCAAAGATTCTTCAGTTAACTGTCTCAAAGTCTCACACCTTACTTTACACAGAAAGAAAAATTCACTACACGACCCTAACTCTCTCAGAGATTATTGTGTGGTGGCATCATAAGTTGATGGCAAATTACTTGAGTTGCCAAATAACTTATATATAGACTCCACTTTTAGAAGCTATCCTCATTTTTGCTACAATGTAGAAATAGTTCAATCACTATCATCAATATAGACTTGGACATACCACTTTGCATCTTGCCTGGATGTATGTATTCAGAGTAGCAAAATATTACACTTCCTCTATATTCTAAAAAATTGCCATAATCAATTTGAATTTATCTTTGTGAAACATCACATTACATTGCAGCAAAAGTTAGCAGGTAATGGATGACTCTTAGAATCCTAAAAATAAAACAAAACCTTCCATTTGTTCTGAGGACAATTCGACAAACAAAAAAACTTTGGCAAGCATGATCTTATTTCTCCTGCTAAATTGCTCCTTCTCTGTTCATTAAAGAATAGATCAATAATGAGATAGATGAGTCTTGATCTTAGGAGTTTTTCTAAGAGTATCTGCATTTTTTTTTAATATTTTTAAATATGTTTTTATTGATTTCAGAGAGGAAGGAAGAAGGAAAGAGAGAGAGAGAAACATCAATGATGATAGAGAATCACTGATTGGCTGCCTCCTGCATGCCCCACACTGATGATCAAGCCTGCAACACAGGCATGTGCCCTGACCAGGGAATCAAACCACAAACTCCTGGTTCATAGGCTGACACTTAACCATTGAGCCATGCTGGCCAGGCTATCTGCATTGTTTTTGATACCTTCAAAGAAGCTAAGAATCAAGAATCAATCTTAATTTCTTCATCTGTTTCATAGATGCATCCATACCTCTGACTGATATATAAAAATCCATGGAATTTGTCACAATAGCAATTAAATAAGTGAGTGTGGATGAACTGATATAAATCCACCCCCGTTATAAGAAATGAAATTATAATACCAACTCAGTTTATGCCTTACTCAGTGTTAGCTCACCAATGATATAGACTCCATTTATGAAGGAGGAACAGTTAAAATAATCTCCATAAAACCAGGTTAGTTTACATGGATAAACAGTTTTTCTTCTTGGACTTCAAAAATTTTATTAATATTTAAAAATTAGAGCACTAATATGAAGAAACTAAGAGGCTTTGATTTCAAGTAGATAGATTTAATCAAGTATTCCGGCAATAGTGGTTACACACCTATGATTTAATTCTGGAAGCAGTAGAAATCCCAGCTTTATAAGATGTCATTTGGGAAACCCCATGCATATAAATCACTTTTTTTTTCTACAGAAAAAGCAAACACTAGATTTTTCTTAATGCCATCCACACTTATACCATGTCCATAAGGGTGTAAAATATCAAATCAGAGAACCAGTCTGGATTCTCTCTCTGCTAATTCCAAGATGGCAGTGCTTAGAAAAGTTAATCAATGTGTTTCACTTTCTTTTTTCTCAAGGAGCATCTTTTACTTTATTTTTATATTTAAATCTTTATTATTGACACCCCTCACCCCCACTGACCTCTTCTAGCTTTCCTGCCCCAGCTTCAGGCCTTCACCATCCTATTGTCTGTGGCCGTGGGTTATGAATACCAGTATATGCATACAAGTTCTTTGGTTGTTTGGCTTTTTTTTTCTTTTCTCCTCTAACAAAATAGAAATAATGCTACTTTTATATTATAATTATTATGAAAATTAAATTAGAATATATATTATATTTATATAATTATTTTATATAAATGCTTATTTCATTTATTTACTAGTATATATAATGTATTATTTATATGTTTATAGACAAATAAATAGTGCTCAATAAATGCTAAATGAAACAAAGGAATTAAAAAGAAGCAGTAGATAACAATTAATAAAATCTAGAAGAAATGGACAAATTCTTGAAAAACACAAATTACTTAAATGGATTTGAAAAAAAGTAAAAAATACCAACAGAACTATAATAGGTAAAGAGACTGGATCAGTAATCAAAATGTCTCAACAAAGAAAAGTCTTAGATCAGATGGCTTTACCAGTAAGTTTTATTGAATATTGGAGAAAAAAATGTTCCCAAAATCTTCAACAAGAGAGAAGGGGGGGGGGGGGGGTTCTTCCTAACTATTCAGTAATGAAACCAACATTTCCTTGATACCAAATCCAGATAAAGACATCACAGGAAAATAAAAACACAAAAAACAGACCAATATCTTTTATGAATATAAATACAAAGATCCTCAACAAAATATTAGCATACTGAATCCAAAAACATATTAAAAGTATTATTCACTACTAGAGGCCTGGTGCACAAAATTCATGCATGGAGGGGGGGGGGGGTGTCCCTTAACCCAACCTGCACCCTCTTTAATCTGGGACCCCTCTTATAATCCAGGACTGCTGGTTCCCAACCGCTTGCCTGATTGCTCCTAACTGCTTCTGCCTGCCCACCTGATAACACCCTAACCACTCCCCTGCCAGTCTAATTGCCCCTAACTGCCCTCCCCTGCTGGCCTGGTCACCCTTAACTGCCCTCCTCTGCCAACCTGGTTGTCCCTAACTGTCCTCCCCTGCAGGCCTGGTCATGCCCAACTGCCCTCCCCTACTGGCCTGCCACCCACAATTCCCCTCCCCTGCAGGCCATCTTGTGGCGGCCATCTTATGTCCACATAGGGGCAGCCATTTTGACTACATGGGGGTGGCCATCTTGTGTGTTGGAGTGATGGTCAATTTGCATATTACTCTTTTATTAGACAGGATGACTAGGTAATATTTATCCCAAGAATGCAAGAGTGGTTCAACATCTAAAAGAATCAGTATAATACATCATATTTATAGAACAAAGGGGGAAAAATCCCAATCAGTTATCTCAACTGATGCCTTTGACAAAATCTAATAACAATTCATGATAGGAAAAATCATCTCACAAAAGTAGGAATACAGGAAAAGTTCATAAACATGCACAATTCCTGTGGACAACACTCCTCAGTAAGCCGGTGAGGTGGGGGAGCTTGCTTGCTGTTCACTGTGCACAGGAACCCTGCAATGCCCAGAGCAATGAGCAAACTATCTGAAAGTCCCAGAGCCCTTAAAATATGTTAGCTTAGACTCTGCTAACATGGATTCGGAAACAGACAACTTCCATGTGAATATCACCCCAAGAAGAGGCTGGCTGTCTAGCAATAAAGATAATTATTCGATCAGCTGGCAGCATAGACTCTCTGGAATCGTTTTAGGTTATGGGAAAGTATATAGAAAAGGGGGAAAAAAGAGAGTCCTTTATTTTGTAACTTATGAAGAACAAGGTAGCGTTTGCACAGCCTCTTGCTTAGTGGACCAAAATATCAAGTTATGTGATCGTTGCACAGCTTTCATATGTGACAAAACTCCTCTCTTCTAAAAACGTAGTCATTGTTTCATGCGTATTTCAAGTGAAATTACCATAGCTCAGTTTACAGCAGAAAAGTTTTCTTACTCCAGACTCTGATCCAAATTCAGACTCTGGTCCAGAATTCTCCTCCCCAAATTCAGGTGAATGACAAGATTGAATAGATTAAGTCTCCTGAATATGTGATTTAACTTCAATAGGGTATATATATATATATATATATATATATATATATATCCCAATTAACTCCATAGAGTATATAACTTGTTCTGAAAATTCTGCTCTAGAAAAAAAATCAATGTTTAGCAATCCAAATACCACAACTGTCTTTCACTCAGGTGTCCAAAAAAACCTTTCATTCTAAGGATTGACTTTTTTTTCTTTTAAATTTGAGGAATTTTCAAAGTCAGTTCTTAAATTAGTCAATCCATTAACGTCTCTATTCTTTAAATCATTTGAGTTTTCACACACATCTTACCTTGCCTTACAAGGAAGGGTATACTCGGCCAAATGCAAAAGAGTCATCAATAGCAGCAAGCAGTTAAAATAGATACCCAAATCCACCAAGTTTGTTTTTATGCTACTTAGTAAACTTCCTTACCAAACATTTTAGTAGAGTGATTTATATTTTATTAGTGTTTTAAGCATATTAAAATATCTTTGTTCACTTTGTAAACCCCACACACACAAAAAACCCTGCTGCACTCACATTTGTTACACACAGATTTGGTGGTTAATATAAGCAGGTTAATATGTTAAAAAGAACTTGACACAGAAATTATTAATGAGTAGAACAAGGTCACTACTTCTGAGCTGAGGTCACTTACAAAGAATGCACAAATGAAATGAAGGTTGACTTTTATTTACTTGACTATCTTCTTACATTGGATTCCTTTGGCAACATATCTTTAAACATTTAAAGCCCTGTTTACAAGGAGGCTCTGAAAGAAGCTTCAAACCATTCTGTGTCCCTAATTGAATTCCCTAGGAGTCCAGTAAACTCAGAGGAATAAAGAAAAATCACAACATTTGCTAAATCATCTCAAAACATATTTCACTGCAAGGTTATATGACCTGTTTTTTGAGGTTCCAAGATGAATGAGAAAATACTACTGAATGTTTCCTTATTTAGACTAACATCAAAAAGAACTTTAGCTATTAATGCTAAGTTAATTAAATCAATCCAGTTTTAATTCTTCTTCCAAGAGAAATCAGACAACAACTAATAACAACATTTTATACTGTACGTGACCACTCGGCCAGAATATAAAAGCTCTCGGGAAGGAAAGCATCTGTAACCAAAGACAATTATTCACAGTAAAGGTATGAGACAGAGCTAATAAAAATGTGTAATCGCCCCCAGGAAAAGTAGCACTTTATCTATGAATTTAAAAAAAAAATCAAGTAGAAGGAGAGAAAGTAAAAGTTTTTAGCAACCAATTAGTTTATTAACATGTCACCTTCCCAATTAACTTCCCAGTTCTAATTTTACTTTTAAATAAGCTTTTCATGATCTTTGTACTCCTAGTTCTTTCATGTGCTCCAGTGTTTGTTGTGACTACTAAGCAAAAACATGTGGATTTTAGCATTTCCAAAAGAATGTTAAATCCCTCTCTACTTACCTGGTTTGTATGTTATTCCAGGGGGGAAGAGGAATCCCTGCTGGGCAGCAGCAGCTGCTGCCAGGGTCCGCTGGTCATGTGGAAAAATTGGGATCATGAGCGGAGGCATGTGACCCTGAACCTGCTAAACAGAAGAGAGCCTATGATCAGACAGAGAGCAAATGTACGCCAAGAAGTATTTGTTTTTCACTCCTGGTGGTGTGTGGGTACCCAAACAGCCACCCACCTCCAACCTCATTCCAAATATGCTCCCTCAGAAAACTCGCATTCCACAAGTCCCCTCTCTGAAATTCCATTAGCACAGCAAGAACATCACCTCCTTGTGAATTGGCTTCACCCCGGCTTCCATAACTAAATTGCAGTGACTGGTTTTCTTTTATCTTAACTTTATTTTTCCTTTTTTAAAAACAAAGAAATACATTGCTTCTCACATTGCAGTGTTTAAGGTTTACCCTTACGCCAGCTTTGCATCCTGTGCTTTATTTTGAAAACAGTATTTAGCATCCTTGGGCAGAAAATAATGTCTAATTGTTATGTATTCCAAAAGCTGTGTCTCCCCAGTTAAGTGTCTTATTTCAAAGCCTCACTGCATTATGTGAAACATATAGCTCTTCAGATTTAAGGCTTACTCCATCTTGGCTCCCAATTAAACTAATATTCTTTGCCATACACACCTCGGTGTAACATATAAATTGCTTGTCTGGCTAAGCAGTTTTACAGCTTTATGCACTACCATGTAGCTCGGTAATTATGGAGTTGTATTCAGAGAGCATTTCATAATAAATCCTACTACATCAAATTTCATTTGACCTCAATAAATGTATCAAAGAGCACAAAAATGCAAAATAGAAAATCTTCACTCTCTATATCAGTATTTGTATTCCTTATAAAGAAAGTGAGCGCTATGACAGAATCATGCCCGTGGAAATCACACTTTAATTTTCCAGCTCCCTCCTTTCCTGGAGGCATGCTGCCCCTGGTTCTCCAGAGCATCCCAGGAAGGTTTAGTCTTGGCTTTCAGGGCCTGATTCTATATGTTGAACTATGGGACTTTTGTTATATAAAGGTCAAAAATAGTGTATTAACAGAAATGATCTTTTAGTTCAAACTGGGTTTTGGCCTCCTTACTAGTATAAGAAGGCTACATGATATTCTATTTAAGATGTAAACCTTTACCACTAATTCTACCAGCCCCAAACCTTTCCCCTGTTTAAATTCCTAAATCTTCTCTTCAGGCAGAAATCTACACACTTGCTGACGACTCTGTTTAAAGAGCACTAACTTGCCTTGTCCTATCCTTGTTTCCTCCACATCCAGGGACATGGTGCAAAATGCTTCTGTGTGGGTCTAAGAGGTTTCATTTACCAACAGTTTTTTCTCTAGGGAAGGCCCTATGATGTGGGTTAATAAAGGGCAAGCAAAAAATAAACACTTTACAGTATTTTTCTGAATTCATTTCTCAGGAAAATCAACTTATAATAAAAAGGTCTTTGTGCAATTACTACCTTGCCAGTGGGGCGTGAAAGAAACTAGCTTTAGGCAGCTATTTCTTCCATTTTAGCTGAGGTAAGCCCAAGTTTTGTACAGGAGAGTACAAACTTAGCCTGCTTAAATTGGAGCTGATCCCCTAGTGCCCAGGTCTTGCCTTTAACCCTGAAAAAAACAAACTCTAAGTTTGCTTTCAACCCCAGCTGATTGTGACCCGATGCAAATCTGAGATGTCAACATTGAGGGCACTGTGCTACGACAGAAAATAAAACATGGTATTCTTTGAGGGTGACTATTGCTCAGTGCAAGAGAATATAGAAGGAAATCATTTCATTTACTCCTAGAAATATGGTCCTCTCAAATACCCAGCATATAGCACAGATGCTTCACACTCTAAAAAAGGGGAACAAAAAAGTGAGAAGTCTAGGTAACATATTTATTTAATCTTTTTTTCTGTCATTTAACAAACATTTATTACATTTATTTATCTATTTATTTATTTATTTATTTATTTATTTTAATCCTCACTCAAGGATTAAATGCTCCATAGTTTTTGAGAGAGAGAGAGAGAGAGAGAGAGAGAGAGAGAGAGAGAGAATGTGAGAGAAAAATCTATTGCTTTCCTCCTGTATACACCCCAACCAGGGAACGAACCCACAACCTAGGCATGTGCCTTGTCTAGGAAACAAACCTGCAACCTTTGGTGCTTGAGACAATGCTCCAACCAATGAGCCACCTTAATAGTCATGGCTATGAGGTTGTTATTATGTGTGATAGATCTTGAGAAGTAGCTGGGGGAAAATGGAGGCCATTTAGCTTGGATAGAACAGATATGTTATATTCAAATGTTTGAAGGAATGATATATGGTAGATGAACCAGATTAAGTCTGAGCAGAACTAGGTTCAAAAGAAAGAGATTTAAGGGAAGTTTAATGCAAAGAATTTTCTAATAGTGAGTTCTCCAACAATCAGTGATGAAAGAGCGTGTGTGCCATTTCCCTAGAGGTGGTCAAGTAAAGGCTGCACACCTCCATGTGAGAAATTCGTGAAAGGACATGTGAAACTGAAACCCTGATTAGGTAATGATCTATAGAGGCTTTGCAACTTGATAATTCTATGGTCCTTTAAGAGTCAACATTAGGGAGATAATGCAACCTAGCCATTCTTTCAGCTATTCCACAGATAATTTATTCACAATCTACTCTGCTTACAAAGGCTTTGCTGCCAAACAATCTGAGCTTACATCTGTATACTGTCTTTCTGTTGGCTGTGTGATCTTGAACACTCATTTAACCTTCCTGAGTCTATTCTGTCATGTAAAAAGCAAAGCCAGTGATACTACCTTACATGGTTATTGTGAGGATTAATAGACAAGGAAAGTCACGCTTGTGGCACAGTGAGTGGCACATAATAGGCACTCAGTAAGCATTAGGTTTTTGCTCTCTCTTCGATATAACTTGAATATACAGTACTAGAAAATTATCAATTTTCTGATAAAAGGAGAAACAGTAGGTCTTACCCATAACTCTAATTCAAAAATGAAAACATGAGCCAACTAAATAATTCCATTTGGCAGGCAGAGGCTTGTCATGTTCTCGGCAGACACCACACCTCACAGAGCATTATCCCATCCCAAGAATCAAGAAAACCGTGAAAAAGAAGAGGTGGATTACTGGGATCATTTGAAGATGTAATTATTCAATAAGCAGCATGTTAGGAGGAAAACATAATTTTATTTCCACGGTGCCCAAGCTCTTCATATCATAAGGGATCAATGGCAATTGGGCATCAGACCTTAATTCTTGAATCTTGGTGCCTGAAGATATTTCCTTTGTAACTAGCTCTGTACATGAGAAAACTAAGCAAACTATCGAGGGTCCCTTTTTATTAATGTCAAAGAGCAATAGAGGTTTCATGTGAACGTAAGCTGTAATAGTTTAGGGAAGTTCTTTTCTGTCCATCACCCTCTAAAGGTAAGAAATGTTAGACATCTTCAATGCAATTATCTCAGAGGCAGTTTCAATAAAATGGAGATCAAAGTAAATGAGAGAAATGGAAGGCATAGAGAGAACAATAGTAATAATAGATTCAGAGGTGGAACGGAGTTTAGAATTGATCTCACCTAGTAGTTCTCCAAGTATGGTCCCTGACCAGCAGCACCAGCCATACCTGAGAATTTTTAAAAAACAAATGATGGGGCTCCACCCCAGACCTATGAATCAGGAACTCTGGGGTTGGATCCCACTATCTAAAATGTAGACTAAAATAATCTAGAGCAGTGATGCTCAAATTTTAGTGTGCATCAGAATCTGGAGGGCTTGTTAAAACAAAGATTGCTCAACCCCACCCTCAAAGTCTCTGAATCAGTAGATTCGAGGTAGGGGCCCAAGAGGGTATTTTTCTACCAAATCCCCATGTGAACTGAAGCTAGTGCTGCTGGTCCAGGACTACTCTTTGAAGATCACTAATCTAAATCGAACCTTACATGGAACCAGGTGACTAGAGAAGGTAAAAGATATAAGCCTGAGGTTACACTGCCTATGACCAAGCTGGATCTAGAGCCCAGAGCTGCTAATTACCCAGTCCAGGGCTTTTTCTATTTAATCAAATGGACTTTAGTGATAGAAAACAAGGGAAACCACCTGTGTACACACTTTCGGTAGAGAAAAATCTGGAGCCCTGCAACTAAAAACAATTTTGTTTCAGAGAAACCCTGATTAAGTAATGACCTATGGAGGCTTTGCAACTATTGTTGGAGTGTGGCTATTATATCTGTTTAGTTTCAGTTTCTTTTGTCTTCTCCCTTGTTTTGCACCCAGGACAATTTGATCATAAATCTACTGTAACTAATTCCAATAATTTATTATAATACATTCAGTAGCTATGATCATTTAGCTCCAAGTGATAAAATGTTCCTTAACTTGTCTTAAGTAAAACAATAATATGCCCTTTACTAAACACAAACCAAAATATCCAGTGGTCAATTAGGATCTAGGCTGAGAGATGATAGAAAGCTCCTTTCTAGCTCTAATTCCAGAAGTAACAGTGGTGGTAATAATAACCACAGCAGCTAGTCCTTTTCAGTGCTGCCTATATGACCAGCATGGGGAAAATGATTTACATGCTCTATCTCATTTAATCTTCAAAATTCTATGGTGTGCTTATTGTTATTCTCATTCCCTTAATGAGGAAGTCAAAACCATGAAAGGTTAAATAACTTTGGTCAATTAAAAAGTGGTAGAACCAGGATTCAAGTCCCAGATAAATTAGGCTCGAAGTCTATACTTTTAAGTCCCATTTAAAGTCATCTCTTACTAAACCAAACTAATCACAAAGAATTATTATAACAATTATTTGACTGGAAGTTTTATAAACATAATTTTAATTTATATAAGGTTGTAATAAATGATACATAGAAATTCAATGTACTTTTACCCAGTTTCCTCCAATAGTAGCATCTTGAAAAACTACAGTACAACATCACAACTAGGGTAATGACATTGATATAATCCAACAATCTTATCCAGATTTCCCCAGTGTGATACTATTTTAAAGAAATTATCAGTCTTAAAAATTAGTAAGGATAATGGAGGTCTATGAATACTTCCAACGACCATCTGTTATAGAAAACTCACC